TTGTTAATGATAATCTGCTGTTTGTCAAAACATAATATGTATATATACCCCTCATCATCTGGTTGTAGTCACTTTTAGTTTGATAACGATGTAAGAATCCACATCGAAATGTCGCTCTATGCAATAAATAGGTCTACTCCCATTTGCGAGAACTCCCAATTGTGAGACTCCCAGTTATGAGACAGTGGAGTAGGTAATTAACAAAGAAAACACACCATAGTCCCCTGTCTGATAGAATGGATTAACCCTATATAGCTGATTACTGATTTGCTATGTAACTGAATCTTGTGGAAGTCTTAATGAAACTTGATGAAAATTGATTAACATACTCAGGTAAATGTCTTTAAAAATTAAACACTTTGTGTAGGTAACTTTGTGATCATTTGAAAGAGAAATTAATATACCTACACAGATTTACATCCGTCTCCGAAACTACAAGATATAGTTTAAGAAATAACTCTAAAATACAAGTTTACAGTCGAACTCCCTCTTATGCCAAACCCTTTTTACCCGACACTACCCGTTATAACCTGGATACCATTTTGAAAGGAAACTTTATTTACTCCTTGTGTAAACCAGAAAATAGTTGAATCCGTCCACAATTATAGCAAGACACAACGCTTCAAATCTTCTCAGGAAAATACTTAAATTAACTCAACAACCTTCTCATGATTGATGTATATTTCTACAATGGCTTGTTAGACAGACAACTGTAACTCTCTAATTATGACTACTTAGAGAATAGTTGTATTTGATGTAATCTGTATATATATATATATGTACTTACACTGCTTGGCAACGGTATAAGAAGCTATACTGAAACGTCGCATCATAAGAAATAAAGAAGTTGTTATCCATAAAGTATTATACTTTTCTAATAATAAAATATGTTTAAACCAAAATGACTTTCAAACTTCATAATAGTCAATAAATATGTGTTATCATAATTACATATTCTTCTGAATAAATAAAATATTTAATGAACTATTTCTTCTGTGTAAATAGAATCTTTGATAATGTTTTTCATTAATCTACTCATCAATGACTCCTGTGGGTACGCTTCAACAACTGGGCTGATCCCACTTTCATTGTAGGGATGTGGAAACACCACCTATGTGCACTGAACCATTAATTAATGTGTCTCACAACTGGGAGTTCTCACAAATGGGAGGACACCCTCTAGAAGTTGTCATCCATAAAGTTGAATGTTTCATTGTTGAGTCACCAACTTCTAGAAAGCCCATCAAGCAATTAGTAAGGTCCTTTGATATTGTCAGGTATCATGTGTCCCAGTAGCCCTGATTGGTTGGAGTGTAAGAAGTTGACTACAGCAGTCTATTGTATGACTAGCCACCTCGGGACTGTGACCTGCTTGAGAATAACCAGCTGATCACCACACAACTGGCCGGCTCTCAGCAATATCACAGATCAGTAGTGACCTCCCCTTATGTAACAAGTGAATGCTGATAGGGTCACATGTACGCATCATTTTATTATGCATGTCAGTGCCATCAAACTAGCACAAAACATATTTACAAAAACATGAAACAATGATAATACAACAACTACAAAAGTTGACGGAATGATAACACAACAATTGTACACAAAATATATTACGTGGTAAATTTGATGAAAATGTTTTTAGAAGAAGAATTTATTTCAAGTTTCAGGCCACAGGCCCATAGAACATACATGTTTTTGAACTTCAGGTATTCAGCTTAGTGAGAGACATCGTTTGTCTGGCATACGTCTGCTCACAAGTTTTACACAAGCTCCATATGACATGGACTGTCTTGCAGGCCACTTCCGCAACTATTAATTGGGGACAAACAATGCAAATGTAACAAGTCTGAGACAGCGAAAACTACAGTGGCTTGTAATGGAATAAACTAGGATTAAAGTATATACTGACTGATGGGATCTTAGACCTTTATACTATCCTTTCATACTAGTGCTGAGACCCTGTCAGTGAAAATATATATAGCTTGAAGGCATTTTTTAGCGTTTCAAGCCTAGAAAGCAAAAACTATCATTCCTTATTCAACAAGATATATTACAGGACTTGTGCGGGTGTTGGAATGAAGATGTCACAAAGAGCATTTAGAAGGTAGGTGACACCAAAATTACAGGTCATCTTTGAGTCAATGTGAGAGCCTGTATCTAGGTTAAACTCCTTCATGGTAGGGGATAACACTACAAAGCCGACACTAGTCAAGATTTGTACAAGTGCCTGCCCCCACACGCACCCAACCCCCCATACTCCTCATAGCCACCCACACGTGTGCATGCATGTTGCCAAAAACCTTTAAAGGCACAATCTCACAGTCACACCACACTTCTCTAAAATAAATACATTTCTCTCAATAATACTAATTATCAGCCCTCAGGGAAGCTACCATGTAATTTATTCCAAAAAAGATTACGTATTTAGATTACAATATTAAATTAAAAAGTTCGAATGAATTAATGCAACGTTGCAATAAATCGACTGACGCGCCCTCTACCAGCCGAACATTATTTCAATGACCCCCATAGAGTTATGTCCTTTGGAGAGCTCTTTACGAATATCCTACGCACAACTTGTGACTGAAACCAGTTCGGCAAACACTGACAATGCTGCGTGCAACAGTTTTCGATGTACGGAGCAATTGTATACATTCCATATATGGCAAGTGTTCTCTCTTTGGAAGCTGTTAGCCTCGAAGTTTCAATTATTGATTTCAGGTAAGTCACAAGGGATAATAAGTCTTTTACTGCATCAATATGAAGTTAAAGTGAGTGCCTATGCCCCAATATATATAACATAGGCCAAAATAATGTTAAAAATGTGTGAAATTGTCTCCTTTAAACCCAATTCCACATATAGACAGTAATAGACAGACTCTTCTTCACTCCGTCCGGACACCTGGGCCCTGTTTCAGAAAGCTATCGTAGCGCTACAAGAGTCATATATCTATGTTACTGGTTACAGTATCGGACTATTAGGAGGTACGGCAGTTGTAGCCCTTCGATAGCTTTGTGAAAAGGGCCCTATTTTTATACCAACAGACATGTATTTGTAAGTAAACATGTACCAGGACAAAAACACAGATGCTAAGGGTGCTCCTCAGAAATAAAAAGTTGGATCTCAAAACTTCAATTTCATTGCAACATCAGCTTGATCTCTAGGCGCAGTAATTCATACAGTCTAAACAATTCGATATTTTTGAGATTTTGTTCTAAACTTAGTTTCAGGCATATTCACCGTCTTTCTTAAATACATCACCAGTGTAGTGCTAGAGCGATTGATCGAATAGTTTGCATAAGCAATTATCGAGGGGTTCAGGAGACTAATAGACATTCATAAAAAAGGAAACATCAAAGTAAACATTAGAAAGTATGTTTCTTATCATTATGTTTGTTAAATCAAGACATAAACAACTGATGCAGTTTCCTTACTTGTAAAACTGTGATGTAAACAACATTCTTGTGTGCGTGTCTCAACAGGAAGTATCCTCGATCGGTTTGATAGTAGTATTAATCGTGCCTGTTTCATTTGCACAATGTTATGACTGTGTCCCATTACTGCCCACGTGAGTTTTGTGGTGGGGTTTTACGATCACAATCGATTACTGAGCTCTGATTAAATATCTTCATATTGTAAGCAATAGTGAGTGGACCGCCTCTGTGGCGTAGTGGTTCGAGCGTCCGCCCGGAGAGCGGAAGGACTGGTCGGCTCGGAGTCAGTATAATGTGTCTGAGTGGGGTATTCATGCTTCACTGCGGCTTGGTATCTCAGTGGGCTAGCACTATAAAACCAGCTTCAGTCTGGGCTAGTACAAGTAGCCGCACCTACACATACACACGCATGCACGTCGTCATATGAGCGAAATATTCTCCAGCGCGACGTTAAACCCAATTTCACCTCACCTTAATAGTGAGTGAGTTTAGTTTTATGCCACACTCAGCAATATTCCAGTTATATGGCAGCAGTCTGTAAATAATTGAGTCTGGATCAGACAATCCAGTGATCAACATCATGAGCATCAATCTACGCAATTGGGATACGATGACATATGTCAACCAAGTCAGCGAGCCTGACCACCCGATCCCGTTAGTCAACTCTTACGACAATCATGGGTTACTGAAGATCAATTCTAACCCGGATCTTCATGAGTATTGTAACTTATTGTAAGCAATAACCAGCACTATCACAGTGTACGCTGATCAGAGAACAGCTAACGTTTTGACATAACTATTCTAAACTATCATGGCTGTCCGGTACTGCAATAGACCTCACTTCAATCTGGGACATTCTAAACATGTTTTGAGAGTATACTATTCACACCTTGCTAAGGATCAAACCATTGATTCAACAGAAACCTATGATGTGGGGTCTAATTTGGCTTAATTATCTAAGCTCATTGTAAGCATGAATCCTAGGTTTCAGTATGTCACTGCATCTTGTGGATCCCATACCTGCTATTCACAGGTGTTGTGTACTTGTCAATGACTCGTTCCATGATTTGCAAAATGGTTGATTGGCGCCATAAAAACCATTTTTAATTTTATGGTTACTCATGTATCGAGTGCATGAGGTTAGATTAAAGTGGCTGTTTGCCTAAAGAGGGGTTACCAAATCATTATTTATCTAGTTTTAAATGGATACAACTTCAAATTATAAATCTATGTGTAAGTAAATTTGGGAATTTTTGTAATCCTTAGCAAAGTGTGAGTACTGAGTAGTATATATCAAGACTGACTGACTGACTGAGTTTAGTTTTACGCCGCTTTTAGCAATATTCCAGCAATATCACGGCGGGGGACACCAGAAATGGGCTTAACACATTGTGCCCATGTGGGGAATCGAACCCGGGTCTTCGGCGTGACGAGCCAACGCTTTAACTACTAGGCTACCCCACCGCCCCAGTATATATCAAGACAAAAGTGCCCTTCAACACATGAAATTAAGAGGAATTCCGAAACATTTTCAACAAACATCATCCATCAATTCATCTCACCTTATCAAATAAGTGCTCTGTGACAAATCCATACACAAGAAGCGGAGTGGCGTTCTCCACACACTTCTTCAAGACTGCTTCCACGGAATCCCCATATTTGGATGGCGCCACAACCAACTGAGAACCAAACCTCAACAGTGGGTGATTAATAGTAACTTCCAACACTGCTGTTCCATTGGCAACATCTGCACCACTATCATCCAAAAGTTCAAGGTCATTTTTGGGAATTGTGTTCCAGGGTCCGTTGTAAGCCTCCAAGTTGTCCACCAAGTCATAATCATCTGGTAGAGACAGGCTGACTGACAGAGTGTCTCCACGGCGAAACCGAACCATTCGAAACTTGGAGTCATTGTCTCTTTCATCTAGTGATGGAAATATTGTTTTGTTGAAGATCTCATTGACAATACGTGACTTTGCGTAGGGCGTCTGGCCCAGCACAATGATCGTCTGTGGCTTCTCAATGACCGACAGCACCTCAGACTCTTCCTCCTTCAGAAGCTCGGCTGTCACAATCTGAGCTGGAACACGGAGACAAATATATTTTATTTAATTATTTCGCTTATAGAGATGTTAAATCACAATATTTCAAATCTGGAACACTTAAATTTTGTATATAATGTTTTTCTTAGGATGAAGACAGACTTCTGGCTGCTCTCATTGATACTAGATTAACAAGAAGACAAAGTCATCAATATCCCCCGCAATGGCAAATACTCTTCATGAATATGTCTACAAGTTATGATTATGTCAAATGTTTTGGTGTGTATATAGAAAAGTGGAAGGAGAGTATTGAAAGGTTTTAAAAGTTCTGCTCTAGAAAGGAGCACTACCACCAGTTTCAGTCTAAGTCAAACTTGTTGGCATGAAAATGCAAAGATATTTTATTCATAATTCCAAAACTACCAAAAGGCACCAGTACACCAACAGATGTATGTATGTGCCAAGTTTGGTGAAGAAACATTGAACAATTTTAGAGTTCTGCTCCGGAAAAGCGTACTACCACCAATTTCAGTCTAAGTCAAACTTGTTACCATGGAAAGGCCAAAAAATATTTAATTCAGAATACCAAAACTACCAAAAGGCACCAGTACACCACCAGACCAAACTATGCGCCAAGTTCGGTGAAGAAATAGCGAACGGTTTTAGAGTTCTGCTCCGGAAAAGAGCACTACCACCAATTTCAGTCTAAGTCAAACTAGTTGCCATGGAAACGCCAAAAATATTTTATTCAGAAATCCAAAACTACCAAAAGGCACCAGTACACCACCAGACCAATGTAAGTGCCAAGTTTGGTGAAGAAATAGTGAAGGGTTTTAGAGCTCTGCTCCGGAAAAGACAAATTTGGCGACAGACTCCATTTTAATATCCCCATAAAGCCTGCGTTGCGGGGAATAAAAATGCCACTTATATTACCAATACTTTCTTCAACCATGACTTATTTCTCTCAATACATTTTATTACGACACTTTTGGATTTTGGATGGTAAGATTTGACCTTGATATTGAACAAAAGTGCTATTTACCACTATTTTTAGGAGATGAATTATCAAAACAAACAATGTATTGATCTTTACTTTATTTATTTTTTCATTTGTTTGTTGTTTAACAATGCACTCAGCAATTTCCCAGCAATATGATGAGGTCTGTAAATAATCGAGTATGGACTAGACAATCCAGTGATTGACATCATGAGCATTGGTCGTCTCTTCTGACAAGCATTAGTCGCTGAAGACCCAATGTAACCCGGATCTTTACAAGACTTATGTTCATTTTAGCCAACAATAAATTATCAGATATGTCGTGGAAGTACAACATGAAACTTTGCTACATTCCATAAGGAAATGATAACGTGTTACTTCCGAGTACATACCCACTCAAACTTGAAACTTCCACTTCTTTAATAACTCACAGATTTCCATTAGTTTCAATCACTCATAATACTGTTTTGATGGCGATGAGAATGTTTCATCCATGGAGCATACCCTGAGTACCAAAGCGAGTTCCTCAAAGCGATCGTAGCACAAAGATGGTCGTAACTTCCATACTTTAACATAGACCTACGACTGTCGTAACGCTACGATCGCTTTGAGTGAGGAACGGGCCCAGAGGCACTGAAGCTCACCTTTATTCAATAATACAAACCTTGTGTTGAGATACTACCTTAATCGGGAAGCACTTGAACCCAACACTTTATTGTATTAACCTGAGCTTTCATTGCTATTTATATATATTCTCTGAACATTTCGTATTAATTGTAACAACTGTTTTGGTACCGTACACAGCGTGAAAGATTTTAACAGAGAGTCTGGGAGTTCTGACTTCAAACGTTACTGAAGAACATGATTACAATGATCAGATCATATTTTCTGAAACAATCTTTACAAGTAAAACCAAGTCTTCTAAATTCAACAGTATCCCTATTTTACATTTCTACAATACATTGTATAATTCATATTATTAACACATGTTGAGTAAACCTAATTCAAATGCGCCATAATGTTGTAATAATGATAAATATTAAAGGCATATAAAGACTGATTCAGCAGTTTTATGAAAGGCATCTACAGGGAACAATGGTATATGAATATATATCCCGAAATGTTTCATCACAATATAATAAAGAAGTTGTCATCCATAAACTATCCTGCCTATATTATTGTTACTATTGTTATCGATTTCTAAAACACTAATCAATGAGATCTCCAATGAAATGTTAAAGGGACACCTTCATTAATTGCATACTTCATACTCTTCCAAAAACATTAATCTGAATTTCTGCACATATATAAAGTGAATTGAGTGAGGTTACACACACAAAATTTAAAGCAACTATACATTCAAATTTCGTACTACTGGGCCCCATGTTTAATTATTATCCTGCAATAGAATTTTGTAACAAACGTTAAATATGACTTCCCAATCTGGAAAGCTGCAAGAGATTGACTTTTCCAAAGTACCTGTTCATATTTTATAGAAATCTCATATTATCATAACATTGGCTGTCATGTCAAAGGCATGCATAATGTTCTGTCAAAATGAATCTATCCAAATAATAATTCACATTTTGCAACTGGACACCTGCTACTTCAATCCATCATTTATCATTTTTATAGAACCTAAATGTATATATGATGGCATTCTATTTTGAATAGAAGGAATGATAATCGAATCAAAGTTTCAGCATTCATTACTCTTTCCCCACATAATCATGACGTCATGAACCAGCTGTGACCTTACAGTACTAACGGTTTAAACTGCCAGCAGGCAAAAGATGTCACAGGCAGATGTCACACAGAATCAGTCCATGTCCACTCTAAGCTAAGCAGGAAAGCTTTTGCAATGACTGACTGACTGAGTTTGGTTTTACGCCGCTTTTAGCAATATTCCAGCAATATCACGGCGGGGGACACCAGAAATGGGCTTAACACATTGTGCCCATGTGGGGAATCGAACCCGGGTCTTCGTGTGACGAGCCAACGCTTTAACCACTAGGCTACCCCACCGCCCCCTTTTGCAATGAGAGACTCTTAGTCTTGAATCAGTGCCTCTACATCGCAAATTCTACACTAAACATAAATCAGTAAACCTAAGAAAATCTGAGTGACCAGAACGTTTCAAGTCAGCTATCAGCAACCAGTTTTCACACAAGCTTGAAAATAAAATTAATAGCTTAAAAATAATGATTTGTGTTGAAAGTAATGAATCCTAAGTTTTTTAAAGTTTCAAATAAAACATCAAGCATGTTCAAATGTTCTCCATACAATGATACTGTAATATACATGCATTTCACATATTTTTTCACTGAATCAGTGAATGTTTTGAAACAAAAGTTGTGACATATTAAACAACAAAAACAACATGTTGAAGGGTGTGGCACAACTACACTGTCACCAAGTTAGTATTACAGACAAATCAGACGTGAAAAATACTAAATATAGTCATGAATTGATCAAATGACAGTTTGTTACTGTAGTCATTACTCACTTCCGTTGAACTGTCCACTGTTGTTGATGTCCTCGAAACATCGTTTAGTCTCATCCAAAATTTGACGAAGTCGCTGAGCATGCCCACAAAACTTGTGGAGCTCATTTGGCAGGTTGGCAGCCATTTTCATACCTTGGTTTTGCTTGACATTACCTAGTAATGCCCACCTGAACAAAGCCACATGACTACATGGCTGTATTTGAGCTACAAAGACTGACTGCCACAAACGAGAAGTCTACATCGACTGTCGGAAGTGTCTCTCGCTTTCGTTTGTGGTATAACACTCGTGACCAGTGTTTGCGGAAGAAGTGTTTGAAGCGAGCACATTGTTTGGAGTTATTTCCCTTGATTGAAATAGTAAACGCGCGCAATGTTTAAAATAGGGGAGCCCATGCTCTAAAACCTGAATCCATCTAATATTTCACCCTGGTTCTCATTGTTTACTGCCGAATCTCGTATATTTGCTATCACAAATCTCAAAAAGCCATGAGAAAAGAATGAGATTAAATTACTGACAAAATATCGAATAGGAGAGGGTTTAACCAGGAACCACATTATATATTAGTCTCTGGTTTAACACGTTTTATGGATAGACAACTTCTCTATTGCAACAGATGCGACGTTTCGGTGTCGATGCTAACACCGTTATCAAGGAAGTGATTAAAGAAATATCGAATATTTAAACATTACGAAGGAAATATTTATGGTTACACCATGTACTTTTGCAAAATGTTGATTTTGTACCAAAATACGATTTTATTCGCTTTCCAGCGTACCATACCGCCGAATTAAGTGGTTGTGAATGAAAACCGATAAAATAGATATTACCAGAGACCATATTATATGGTCTCTGATATTACATATTATAAGCTTACGTTTATCGAACAAACTTATCTGAACCTGACAGCTGTTATTTCTCTCAATCGTTTTACAAACAAATTTATCTTAGCGAGATTTAAGCTTCATGTACACACATATATGTACACACAGAACTTAGAAGGCTGACAGGGGTATGAGGAGGAGAACAGGCGCGTAGCAAGCCAATTTTTTCGTGTAAGCCCGATAGGTTGCAGGGGCGGATACAGCATTTTTAGAAAGGGAGGGTGCATACTATTGCATACATTTCATTTTCACCCGAGTTTCAATGGTCATCAAATAAAATTTCAGAACAAAGGGCGTGCACCCTGCACCCCTTCTGGATCCGCCTATGGGTTGCAAAGCTTTACATTTAGATAGTACTGAGGGCTTGTCCAACCTTTTTAGCAAAAATCATGTGTAAGCCCGGGCTTTTTCTTATAATGGTAGCTACGCCCCTGGAGAGTGCTGGCTGTCATACAGTCACACGGAGGTTACACTCGGTATTGACCTTGAATCGTGTAAGACATGCGAAATGACATTTTAAATGTCCACATTCACCAATAAATTCATCATTTAACATTCCAGGGTCATACATGTACAGACATGGTTTAAAAGTGTGTCTTTAAAAAATGAGCAATTATCATCATAAAATCACATGGATTCCAATAATTTTGTCGTTTGTTATGAGTCAGAGAATCATACGGGTCAGAAAAAAACTCATGTTTTTCCATCGATTCGTGGTCACCACGAGAAATTTGATGTACGTGTGGAAAACCTTTCACTGCAAAAATGCAGGGGGTGCTTAATTAAGTTCTTTGTGTATATAAGTGCACTCAGCATGCCTATATCTTGTGATAACACATGTCCCAAGGTTACCGCCCCGCTGTCATATATTCTTGTGTTTAGGGTTGACATTAAACAACAGAGATTAAGAAAAACAAACCGGGAAGAGATGGTGACAAACACTGTCTTGATAAGGTGATGTTGACTGTAGAACTTGATTTTGTTTAATCTCGGTGTAATCTTCGGTAATTAGCTATGTCCTATCCAGCTAATCTCAATGCCCTCAGGTGGGTAGTTTAGGCGTTCTCTCATCACGCCCAAGACCCGGGTTCGATTCACACCATGGGTACAATTTGTGAAGTGCCCTCCACCCCCACACAGAGATATCATGCATCACATAGGCGGATCCAGAGGGGGTGGGGGTGGGGGTTGTGTATGCTGGGAGACTATTGAAATGACCTGTGCTAACAACAACAACAACAACAACACCACCACCCCCCACACACTTTTCAAAAAGCTGTATTTGCCCCAGCCCCTGAGATAACCCCCCTCTCAGACACAGTATGCTGACACCGTGACCACCAGTCCTTGTCCTTTTCCCTTCAGCCGAGAACAAGGAACGGTAACAATAATTAAGTACCATACACATTACACTCTCCGGGAAGTCGCATTCACGAGCCCTCATATAATGTACTGAAAAAATGTCATCGAACCAGTTTTTTTAACAGAGCAACGAAATCTATACATTCTACAATGATGTTAACTTGAAATCCGATAGCCTGTCGTCTCTGAAATCTTTTTTGTTGTTTGCGGAAACGGGTTTTATCAGTCTTTTTGATAACCCGGTTCGAAAAGGCGAAAAAACAAAAGTACACTCGTATATCACGCTCGGCTCTCACCTGAGCTCAGTGTCACGGGCTGGTTGAATGTTAGCCGAGAGCCGCGATGCGAAAGTCAAGACATGACTCATCGTATATCACGCTGCATCGCTTCACCTATAGGACCGCATCAGTGTCTCGGCTATTTGGTTGAATGTCGAGATAGAACCTTACCGGCGTGACCTTGACATTCTCTGATTACTGCACTGTTTTGTCACACATTGTTACACATTCCTAGGCCAGACTGCTCATATTTTTTCTCGGTGGCTTTTCCGGTGTACAAAAATATAGTTATCGTAGGTTGTATATACGTGTATGTTATTATGTAACCAGAACCGTAAGTCTGTTTAATGCGTATGATATATGATATTTAAATAGATATATATTTCGAGTGATTTATTTCCAATTTAAATTTTATAGACAAACTTTATGGATAACAACTTCTTTTATTTTGTGAGTGCGACGTTTCGATAAAGATTCTTGCGCCGTTGTCTTTCCTGTTTGACAACGGTACAATCATCTGTACCGAAACGTCGCACTCAAAATATAAGAAGTTTGTCTATTCTGTACTTCCCAACTTTTAAAATGCCACTCAAAGAAATTTAATTTAAATTTGAAAACGCGAACAAATCACGTATGCATCTTCTTGATCGGGTATTCACCATCGTCGTGCGTTTTTACCTATCTCTGTACCTATAGAGAATGAGATTCATGTTATGTTTCGGTGTCATGTTTACCAAATCTTAGATCGCGTCCTCAGCAAAACATTGCACATAAGGTTATTACAATAATGTTATTGCCGAGCCATCTGTTACTAAAGCCATTAATAGCATATACAGTTTTATTTGAATTACTCTTTTCTCTTATCTCACTTTATTAGGTTTTTGGGGCGGTGGGGTAGCCTAATGGTTAAAGCGTTGGCTCGTCACGCCGAAGACCCGGGTTCGAATCCCCACATGGGCACAATGTGTGAAGCCCATTTCTGGTGTCCCCGCCGTGATGTTGCTGGAATATTGCTAAAAGCGGCGTAAAACCAAACTCAGTCAGTCAGTCAGTCAGTACTGTATTAGGTTTTAATACATATCTACTGCTACATTTTAGAGACAGTGTCTCATAATAATTTAGGCTGGTTGATATGTTATTCATTCGTTATTCTGCTAAATGATATATTATTACGGATGTGGCCTATATTGTGACACTGAAATAAACTCCTCCTGTCTGTCTGTCTATCAGTAACGGTACATTATGACAGTTATAGCAGGTGCTCCTGACTCACAAGTCCCGTTAAATCTGGAAGCTGACGCCACACAACTAATCTCCTTATACTTGGTGTTGTAAGTGATATGAACACGGACATCCATTTTAAGCGTTTGTCAGTTTCAAAACCATGAAATAACACTTTATATCAGAGTTGACTTCCATGTTTTTATTGCTTTCTGTATTTTATGTAAATTGTGCTGTATCAAACAGTGTGTTTTGTTCGGGATGTTTTACAAATATTATTTTCAAACACCTTTTGTCTCTCATTTTATATCACATTGTACATATAACGTTTTATATGTATAAGTCAGATGAAACAAAGATAAACAGTCTTCCTGTCTGTATTTGTTAGTGTGTTGTTGTTGTTTTTTTTGTTTTTGTGTAATGCAAACTTTGAAAGGGGTTGGGAAACATCAAAGAGATAAAAACAAGCATCGTATTGTAGCCTAGTGGTTAAAGCGTTCGCTCGTCACGCCGAAGACCCGGGTTCGATTCCCTATATGGATACAATGTGTGAAGCCCATTTCTGGTGTCCCCCGCCATGATATTGCTCTAATATTGCTAAAAGCGGAGTAAAAACAAAACTCACTCACTCACTATAAACAACAGGCGCAAAACAACACTCAACCATTCGGGCTCCCAATCCCTTGCCGATAAGGTTTATCGGTATATTGGGCTACATCTCTGATTAGATTGTCAAAACAACAACGTTATGAAATGTTTATACAAAATCGAAAACAATTGACAAGTAATTGAAATGTTGAGTCAGTTTACATTTTTTATAACACGGTAACAATATATGAGCCTGAAGATGTCACTGATTTACGTGATAGATTGGTTCATTGTACTGTTGACCCGTGAAGATCCGGGTTAGAATTGATCTTCAGTAACCCATGCTTGTCATAAGAGGCGACTAACGGGATCGGGTGGTCAGGCTCGCTGGCTTGGTTGACACATGTCATCGGTTCCCAATTGCGCAGATCGATGCTCACGCTGCTGATCACTGGGTTGTCTGGTCCAGAATATTGCTGAGGGCGGCGTAAAACTAAACTCACTCACTCATTGTACTGTTAGTAAAACAGGCTATATGGTATTTTTGTAAGTACGGCATTCCTTCCATCGGTTCACTACTCTTCAAGTATGTGATGCTAAAACAAATCTATAACCGTAATGGGTCAATAGCCTTGCCGAATCTTAGAGTGCAAGTGAGCGAACCTGTCCAGCCTGTCCAAGGTTCAAGGTCCGGACGACACTGTCACTCATCCACGTATCGCATTACAGATCTCTTAATACACTTCATGCGCTGGAGCTCGAGGTCCAGGTGTTTATAATCAATAATTATGGTTCTGCTGTTGGCAGACATAGCCCTTATAAAACATCCAATTATCCTATCTTTTGAATAATACAACCTAAAACATGATGCGGATGTATGGCCGGTCTTAATGCTGATAAATATTCATTTGCTAATTTCGTGGATGACTGCCCTCTTCGGCTGCCAGTCAAATCGCC